ATGACTGCTCGCCGTCGCCTGTTGCGTCTTGGTGCCGTGTTCCAGCGTTGGAAGCCCGTCTTTCCTTGATTCGCGCTGTTAACGGATCAGCCATGACGTCGCACGGTCGTGACTCGGGGGACAGCACCATGAGCAGCTCGGAAGAGGTGTGTAAGCTGGTGCGCAAAGGGTGTGGTTCTTCTCGGTCCCTGGCAAGACGCAGCTCACAGCTCGTCTCTTCCCCTTGCGGGTTTGTGCAGATCTCTTGGATCTCCTGGTTCTGCAGCCTGCGTGGTAATGAATTTTTTTGCGAGGTCGACGAGTCGTACATTCAGGACAAGTTCAACCTCACCGGCCTCTCGGACATTATCCCCCACTATCGGTGCGTTGTGATGAGTTTTTGATGCATCCTGCTGCCAACACCCTGGCCTTATGGCGTGCGCAATCGCCCTCGTTTGGCTGGCGCGCAGCCATGCTTTGGACATGATTCTCGATTTTGAGCATGAAGATGAGCTCCCAGACGACCAGGTCGGCACGGTTTCTTCCGAGAATGGTTTTCCCTTTTGTGTTGTTGCTGCTCCTCCTGGGACCCTAACCAAGCCCTCATCTTTTCTTATGATCGGTCCCACTTATTTCTGTGGCATGCTTCTAGATCCAGGACGTTGAACAGGCTGCTGAGGGTCTTTACGGACTTATTCACGCACGCTACATCTTGACGAACCGTGGCCTGCAAAAAATGCTTGACAAGTATCTGGTACGCTCGTCCTTGCGTCGTTGTTCCCGCAGTTTTTGCTTTTTCTTTTTTTTTTCTTTCTGGGAAAGAATCAATCAGCGACGGGCATCTCCACGCTGCTCACGGGTCGAGCCTCACGTTTGCGTCTTGTGACTTGCGTGCAGGCCAACGACTTTGGCACTTGCCCTCGTGTCCTCTGCGAACAGCAGGCGGTATGTAGTTGTTTGTGCCGCTTTTGAAACCTGTCGCTAAGGACCCAAATTCAATTCGGCTCGAGTTGAGCGATGCATTTTCCCCCTCAAATTGGCTGGCCAATAATTTACTCGTGCAGGTTTTGCCGGTGGGTGTGTCGGATGTGCCCGGCGACGCTACGGTCAAGCTCTTTTGCCCTCGCTGCAATGACATCTACACCCCCAAGGTCTGTCGTTCACCTTTGCCTTCCACCCAGAGCCTTTGCTTGGCTGCTTCCCGATCATTGGGTACTGGCCTTGATTCGAACTGGGTCCTCGGCCGATAATTGTCTTAGGCGTCGCGCCATCAGCACGTGGATGGCGTCTACTTTGGAACCACTTTCCCGCACATGTTGTTCGCCGTGCATCCCGAGTTTCGCCCAACGCAACAAGTGACGCACTACGAGCCCAAGATCTATGGCTTCAAGCTGCATGCCACCGCGTATGAAGAGATGAAGAAGCGCCGCGATGTCGAGCGGGATATTGAGACGGCCGTGGCAAGCATGCGTACTGCGCGCAAGTACTAGAGCCTGTAAAGCGTGGCGTGTCTTGGCGTGGGTAGCCCACCAGCAACTCGTGGACCTGTGAAGCGTGTCACTGCCAGGTCGTGCAGTCTGAGATGTGCCTTTAGTGCCCGACCAGAGACTGAGCCGTGATGGTTTTTTGTGTTGTTGTGCAAGGCACGTTTTGCTTGGCCTTGAGCACTTGTGGGCCAATGTAGTGTATGTTGCCTCTGTTCCTCTCATATGCGTGCGTGTTTCGTTCGAGTGTCGTTGATGCAAAGCAACAACGACCTTTTTAAAAATTGCAAACCCATGACCTCTGATTAAATTTCTTGCGTGCACACACACACACCACCCCGTTCCCACTGGACAAGTCTGAGCCAGAGCCTTTGATCCGGTAGTTTGGCGTGCACGCTGCCTCACAGTCAAGCAACCTGACCTGCCATTCGTTTTTTATTTTTTTTTTCTTTCTGTTCGATTTTCGTTTTCCTCTCTAACAACAACAACCACAAAGTGTGTGTTTTTCTTACGTGTTATTGTGTGTGTGTGTGTGTGTGTGTGTGTGTGTGTGTGTGTGTGTGTGTGTGTGTGTGTGTGTGTGTGTGTGTGTGTGTGTGTGTGTGTGTGTGTGTGTGTGTGTGTGTGTGTGTGTGTGTGTGTGTGTGTGTGTGTGTGTGTGTGTGTGTA